TATTTCTAAGACACGTTTTGATTATCTTTTCACAGTTTTCCAGAATTTACTCTAAGTCATTTATTTTATTCTGTCAAAAATAATCTTGTTCTTAAAAGATGCAGTTTGTAAATAAAACACTGCATGTATTAGGTATGTGTTTTTCTAGGATATTTTTTTGCCAGGAACTCCGTGAGATTTTTTTCTGGAATCCCATTTTTCAGAGCAATTATTTCTAAAAAAAAAAAAAAAAAAAACAGGGTGTGAGGTGCATATATAAACACTGCCTTTATTTTGGAATCTGGATTTTCTTGGGTGAATACCTTCTGAGACTGATTACGATCTGAATCAATGAATTTTCATAGAATCCCTACAGACACGTCACATAATGCCACCATTGCATTTGGTCATAGTTTGGGAAGATTGCAGCAGGACTAACTAGGCATGTGACACCTTTTTATCTGTTTTTGCACAATCACCAAACCACATGGGGACTTTTCTGCAGTGTTGCCGTAATATTATAGAATAACCAAATACGATTTTTTTCTTTTTTGACTAATGTTTGATCAAAGTCGATATAAGGAGATTGTGTTTCATTATCAACTGTAACCTTTTTAGAACATAGATGTACTGTTTTCAGTTTTATTTGTAACTTTGCTATAACAGGGGCCAAGTGCTACATTTAACATATTTGAAATGTTAATCAGACAGAAGAGCCCAGCAGAAAAAGTTACAACAGTCTTGCTGCAACCAAATAGTCTGTATGGATTTTTCAGCGTAGCCAGTCACAGTTTGCTTCTCAGCTTCCTGAGGGGTCTGGTTATGTTAGATTTCTCTTGCTTGTTGGAAGTGTGCTGTTAATATTGGCTCACATCTTCCATGAGGACACAACGAAGTGAGAAACTTGCCATGTTGCTCGCCCACAGTGCTCTCGTGACCTGAACTTTTCACATATTTATGGGTGGCTGACTTTGTGTCGTCTGAAAGAGTCTCTGGGCTGTTGAATAAAATATGACTGTCCAGCCAGACCAGTCACAATGCAAAAAAATGACTGGCAATCCCCAAAAAACAAAAGTGTCTCTGTACTTCACTGACTGCACTGTGAGGAAAGCCACTGTCCTCTGTCCTTTGGAGTTGGAGAGGCTCGGGGGTGGAGGACAACTAGTCAGGCAAGCGTTTGGGATTCCATTACGGGCACAACGGGTAGGGAGAGATACTGAGCGTCTGCTCTCCAGATGAAAAGCATATGAATTTTAATGCACTGCATTGTTCCATATGTGGGAGACAGACTGGAGGCACCCCCGAGGCAGCATGAGAATGTGAGAAGGGCACAGAAACGAGATGGCTGTGTGCTGCGTAAGGCTGCATATCACTGACAGTCTTGAGGTTAGAAATAAATGTCTCTTCGTGAAACCTGATGCACTGAGTGTCGATGATGATCTAGTTTAAAATCAGACCTGTCGTGTGTACACGTGCAGGGTGAAAAGTAGTTATCTGTTGCAAGTAGAGTTACCAATTTGTATTTGCTGCAGCTGGAGTCTTCTACTGACAAAGTCAAGATCTGTATTTGGGCGTTTGTTAGCAATTAGCAAAAAATACAACTACGTTTTTATTTACGGTCAGTCTTGAAATATTTGTTCTTTACTTAAGGTTTTCCACTTTTGCTGCTGTAGTTTATGCTGGGTTTTACTCAACTGCAGCACTTCAAAAGTTGTCTAACACTTACATACCATTGTGAGACGTTTACATACATTCACGGGCATTAATACTATGGTAATTTGAGGCTTTTAATCATTTTTGAACTGTTCTTTTTCTAGAGTGGAATGATTGTACAGCCTACATTTTTAATGAGTTTGAAGGATTTTCTCTAATCCACACAGGGTCAAAAGTAAAGATACAGGCTCAAATAAATACATACAAGCCCAATGATATTTAGTTAAATACCACTTAGAAAGTTGCACCTCGCCTAGACCTTCCAAGGTGTTTTACAGGTTGCCATCAACAAGCGTTTGGCGTAAATCTGCCTCGATAATCTGACCAGAGTTCATCTTTATTGGTCGGTCTCCCGGCACAGACGTGGCTTTAAAGCATAGTCCCTAAATTTTCAATAAAGTTGAGGCCAGGGCTTTGAGAAGGCCATTCCAGAAGCTTAATGTTAGCCTGCTCTATAAACCAGTTTTGATGTCTAAGTTCCAACCATCTTGCCGTTGACTTGAGGTGAATTTCAAGACTTTTGGAGTAGTTCTTCATTATTCTTTATTGTACCAGTGCCAATTGTAGCAAACCAGCTCCAGACCATGGTGCTACCACCACCATGCTTGATCGATGGTGCAGTGTTTGTAGGTTTGAAAGCTTAATGTTTCCTCCTCCAAACATACTTCTTGTCATTGTGACCTAAAGGCTTAATCTTTGTCTCAACTGACCATAAAATGTTTCTTCAGAAGGGATTTAACTTGTCCACGTGCATGGCTGTAAATTTCATCTTGGAATCTGCAGTTGTTTAGTCATTCTAAGAGACCTTCCCAACTTGTGTAAATCTAATATTCTCCTATTATAGAATACAGTTCAAGGTTAAATATTAATCCAGCACTATCTTCTTCTTGTTGTTCTGGAACAAGTTTGGCTTGTTTGGAAGAGTTGCCAGGAGAAAGCCCCTTTTTGTTTAAAAAGTACGTGGCCACACAGCTTAGGTTTGCAAGTTGTATCTGAACAAACCACAAGAGCTCTGTCATACTGTTCTTTGAACAGATGAGACAAAGTGGAGATGTTTGGTGAAAATGTCCAGTGCCACGCCCGGCGAAAACCAAACATGGCATACCAACACAAATACAAAGTGCTGTAGAGTCGAATGTGAACACATCTGTCCCAGAACTAAAGTTTGCTGAAACTGGGTCATGCAACAGGACAATGATCCCAAGCACAGTAGCAAATCTACAACACAATGGCTGAAAATGTAATGAATCAAGCAGCTGCAATGGTCTGGTCAAAGAAAAGACATCAAACTGATTCAAAGGCTGTGATGGGATCTTGAGGAAGCTGTGAATAAACAAACCTCAATGAACTGAAGGAACATCGTAAAGAAGAGTGGGGTCAAATTACTCCCGAGATGAGGCACTGATAAAATTGTACAGAAAACAATTAAAGTTATTTCTGCTGAATGTGGTTCAGCAAGCTACTGAATCGTGGGCTGTACTTAGTTTTTCAGAGAACTGTAGTCGTCTTATTTGAATTAATTTTATTGGAGAAAATTCCTAGGGGATATTTTTGTTATCATCTTACCTGCATGACTGATAAGTGTGAAGGTGAAGGAGAGGGAAATATACAGGAGCTTCCAGGTAATTGGCGAATAACAGAAATGTAAATATTGCTTTGACCTTGCGGGTTAGAATTACTAATGGTGTTAACAAGGGTGCTTTCTCTGTGTCCGTCAGCCATCAGTGCTGGCATAAAACAGGTTTTACTGTTCAGCGCACTCTCAGCACTCTTGTAAACTGTCGTCAGTTTACAAAATACCAGCATATTTGACCGCTATGCATGGGTGAAACCAATTTCACCTGAATGAAAGTATATGTGCTCTTCATATGTAGATGTGTGATCACTGTATAAATCCACAATGGGAGACATGCTTTGCTAACGCACATAATGCTCGATATTATACATTCCAAACCCGAGGTACAACAAGTGTTACCAACCAGTTTGGCACTACAGGCATCCCTGGTTTTGTTTTCTTATGAGCCAAGAATGTGAGGCAGGTATTTCGAGACTAAGCGTCATGGGTATTTTGTCAGAAAGACACAAGACGTGCACAAAACCCCCCCGGATATAACAAAAGCTGAGGCAGAGACTTGGTGTCAAGCCTGTAAAACATTGAATGTGAAAGTAAACAAGAAAACCAAAATGCATGTGTAAAGCAGCTCAGGTGGATGCATGAATAGGGGGTTCAAACCACATCTGTCTATCTGCGCTTGATTAGAAGAAATGTAGGATCTATTGTGGGCACAGACTGGTCTCTGCTCATACCTGCTGATGAATAGCAGCGTTTTTCAAAATAAAAGATACGTAGAGCCCAGATGACACTGATCGAACCGGTTTGCCTCGGTTGCATACCTCACTTGTTGCACCATACTTGTCTCTTGTGTTGATAATAATAGCTCTCTGCCTTTCAGTCTCCTTTCCTGCAAGTAATCGACATTTTGTCTAGAAAAGAACAAAGGCATCAGTTTAGAGTGTAGATTCTGAGTTCACAAAAATCTCTTCCTGCTACAGCTCATATGTGTTTGCTCTTGGGTGTGTAAGTATTTGTTTTTGAGATATTTAAGCTCGGTATATTCAACAGTACGGTGTTCACATGACCCCAAACGAGGTGGAATAGGCAGGTTTGCTTTTGACACTTGAGGGTCCCTACAGTCCAACTTGTGGTGTCTACTGTTTTAGCAGTACATGGGAAAGGTCTGTCTCTGTCTCCCTCTCTCTGTCTCTGTCTCCCTCTCCCTCCCTCCACCCCCCCAAAAAAAAATGTCCTTATTCTTAAATTAGAACTTTATCCTGAAAAAATGTTTAATATCTTCCCATCTTCCTGGGAACAGTTATATCTGCAGGTTTTTAATCAGGCCAGATTTACTTCCTCTGTATGCTTTTAGGGTGTGACCTAGTAAGTAAAAGGTTATGTGAAAGCTTCCTAGATGCTGGAGCATTACTTGAAAATGAAAGGCATTTACTGTAACTCCAGATTGCACCAGTCAGGGAGGTTTTTTTATAAGCACCTTTGCAGATCACACTGCATCCTATTATAATGACCAAATGATAAAATAATTAAAGCTAACGCCGATAGTGAAACCTTGTTTGATTGTAACAGTGGTAGTAATCGCTTGCCTTCCATTTATTTAGTTTCAGTTGGTGGAGATAAGCGTAAAAACAATGTAAGATGCAAAATAAGGTACTTAATGAGCCTTTGTTAAACTTCAGGGAAACAGTGAGAGCCTCGTTATCACGCTGGGAAGGCGGTGATTGGGTCATGAATAATGTATCGGGGTGGGAGGAGACAGTTTCGGCGTTGACTTTAGTTTAGTTGCGAGCGTCACGGTGTGTATTGAAGACCGGGACATGGTCTGAATGGCTTTCTTTACAGTCACTGGAGGAAGTTTTCGTTCATCGAACACCAGGTAAGATCGATTTAACCACTTCACGGACTTCACCAAGCCAGATGTTACTTTTTTTGTGCGTGTGGTAAATATATTGTTGCAATCTGAGGAGTTTCCTTACTTAGGTTTGTAATCTGCGTTATCGACATGTGTCTTTTAATCCCAATTTAATGTCGATTTCATGGATTTTACGCACTCCGTGCGTCTGGAGCAGGAAAGAAATCAGAAAGCTTGATTCAGTGAAGTCGTTGTGAAAAATGACAAACCACGGTTAATCTTTACAGAAAGTATACTTTTAAAAGGAGGATGACCTTCATGAATTCCAGCCTATTTTTATGCTCTGTTAACTCTTCAGAGAATGAGTTAATAACTGATAGGTCGCAACTTTTTTGGGACAGTTTGACATTTGCTGAGTGTAGCAGCAGGTGGGGCAGTGTTTATGTTAAAAACAGCGGGTAGAAAAGGGTATTTTGTGTGGACGTGGGCCAGCGTCTACGATGTGGATTCCAATCCATAGGGGCCAAAAAGCCAAACGGGGTTCAGCCATAGCGTGTTCATGTTGTGCCCTGAAGCTTGATCAGTTAATCTTACTAGTCACAACATGTTGGACGAATGAAGGAATCTGCCACAGGCTATTAAGAACCTGCTGTTTTAGGTCTGATGGTGCTGCACTGCTTCTCATCTTAGGCCTCTTTTTAAGCATTGGTCCTCTTTCTTGTTTAAAAAAAAAAAAATCTAAATCTAAAAAATCTAAATCTTTTCCCTTTACTGCAGTAGGAACACCTGTATGAGCCAGCATTCTCACGAGGGAATGATCACAGTGCTGAATGCTCCCTGTGCGATTATTTACCCCACTGATGTGTACAAACAGAAGTGCACTATTATCCTGAGCTGAAATGCAGACCTGACACTCCTTGCATTCTCCCTTTTTATATTATTATTATTATTATTATTATTATTATTATATAGAGAGGACAATAGTCATAGGGAAGGTGACTGGGGTCAACTATGCAAACAGGGCTCAAATCTCAACCTGGCGCAAGCAACAAGAGGTGACAGAGCACAGCCTGTTCCCAGGATTGCTTTGACCCATATCTGACCTCCCCACTTTTTTCTTTTCTTTTTAACGAGCATTAATAGAAATTGATCAAATCCGAATTTACTGTGGTAATCCCGCTAATCCAGGGACCCCTGAAGGGATTCTCCAGATGGTCTTGCTGCAACTCCTAAATCAAGGATTTCATTGTGATAATGCAGCTCTTTCCTTTTGCTAATTACGCTTAACAAAAAGCATGGTAAATCTTTAAAAAAAAAAAAAAGTCTTTCATTGGGAGTTTACATTAATTTTTGACTGTCGTGTGCATAGTATGGATTTAAATCTTTTCTCAGTGTCTTAAAGTAATGAAATAAACATTTCAAATCAGTGCCTCATCGCCCTGTTATGTTCCTATTATGCATACAAACCTTTGCAAGGTGTTCTTCCTTGAACAGCTGCAGCCCCAGTTGTTCTTTCCCGATATGTAAATCTGCACTGAGGACAATTTCTTCTCTCCCAGAGGAAGAAGTGGTTTGACGTAGCTGTATGTCATTAGGCAACAGATCACCGAGATTAGCGGGCACACACTTCTCTGTGTTCTCAATGAGCTGTTGTATCTTTAAAAAGAGTGGGAGAACATCTGCTTGCCGCTGTATTGTTCCCAAGTGCTTTTCACATTCCAGTTTTACAGATAGGTCAGTAATCATTTTTGTCATGTTGTGCTATCATAACATGGAGTCTGGCTGTTGCTGTCAGTTCCTGATTTATGGCACCTGGCCTCAGCGAGCCTCTCTCCAATTCACTCCTAACATTTGCTCAGCAGGCTTTAAATGTTTCCTGTTGTGAGATGAAAGCCACACCAACATCTCAACAAGGCTAGCTCTGCTTTCTTTCACCAGTCTGGCCTGTGGTGGATGACACAGTTTTTTTTTGTTTTTCTTTCCAAAGACAAAAATACGAAAGACCCAACAATCAAGCACAGAACAGGAAAGAAGATTTGTTGACAAACTGCACGATCAATTGTTGAAGATGTGGTAGTAGTTAGTAGAACATGGGTTAGGCTATCTGGAGTGAAAGGAAAACTCACAATATCATCATTAATCATTAGTCACAGCTTTCTAACACTTTCTCTTGACTCCTTCCATCAGAACGAGGCATGGCTGGGAAGCCTTTCCGAGCCACCTACATCTGGACCAGCATCATTTCGAATCTGCATACTCGCGTGGAGGTCAAGCGTCGGCGTCACAACCTGAAGTCTTACCATGACTGTTTCTTGGGTTCAGAGGCAGTGGATGTGGTGCTGGCACACATCACCCTCAACCGTTTTTTTGGAGATGAAGCAGTAGCCCGCTATAAAGCTGTCAAACTTTGTCAGGCGCTCATGGACTCAAGGGTATTTGAGCCGGTGGGAATTAAAGTATTTGGGAAGGAAAAGAAGAAAACTACATTTGAGGACAGCAGTTTCAGTTTATACAGGTTCCTGAGTCCAGAAAACAACTCGTCTTCTACGCTGACTGGCACCAATTCCCTTTCCACTAATACCATTGAGAGTGGCTATGACTCACCGAGCATTGAAAGAAACACAAAGGGCTATAGTCCTCTACGGGAAAGGTACAGACATAAAGTAACTATTTTAGATGTAATCTGTGATTTGCTTAGCTCTCATTCCTTTAAGGTAATTGTTAAATCCAGTTTAGCTTCAGATAGTAAGATTTCTAAAAACTGGTTTGGCATGAACAAAAGGTTTTAGAGTCAGAACATTCAGTCATGCATTGATTTCACAAATTTTCAGTTTCAGTTGATAATTTTCAGTTAATGCTTTTTCCCAAATCTAGTATTTTATAAATAATGATTAGGTAGATATAAATCATACTGATTTATCTCCCAAGTATTTGATTTGTTTTCAAATTGAGGGTTTGGACTGGAATGGTACTAACATGGTGCTTTTCTGCTCTTATTTGAGCACTCAAAGCGCTTTCCTACTGCAAGCCTTATTCACCTATATTCATATAAGCACCTTGTTCTATCCCTAAGCAGTTTTGACATAACAGTCACGCACTCACACTTTGATCGATGTATTGGGAGCAACTGTCCAAGGATACTTTGACATGTCAGACCCTAAACCATCAAGCTCTCAGTCAGTAGCCAACCTGCTTTACCTCCTGTGCCACATCCATCCATCGTGATTGTCTGAATACTGAAAATAAAGCTGAGCACAAAAACAGAAAATGGGTGGAATGATTTGCAGGCTAGTATAGATCAAGTTACGACCATCATCAATCAAGGTGTTATGTTAATATGTGAGACCTCTTTTATAACACTAACTTCTTGGGTGACCTCCCAATTGTGACACACTTTTGAAACACAAAATTGTACATTTTATTGTTTAATTTTTTTAAGCTTTATTTATCCAGTTAAATCACTGACATCAAGAATCTCTTTTACATGGGATATCTGGCCAAGATGAATGCACCACTAATGTATCAAAACAAACATCAGATTAAATTAACGATATAAAGACTTGCTCACATAAAACACTTGCACACATTCGTAAACTGTAAGGATTTCGATCAAACTTCTTCTTCTTGGCTTCATCTCATCTGCCTCGGCTTGAAAGCATATAAACAAATATCGTGGTGAGCATCTAAACTTTAAAATTTCCTTTACCTTGATGCTGGAGAGTTCAGAGTTTTACAGAGGCTGTTAGGATAGCAAAGGTTGGCAGAATGCATTAAGCATACGGGCTAACACATGGCCTCAGCACTTTGTGTTTACACTCTTTTGATCTCTTTAAAATCTGATCTTGTTGTGGGAGGGACAGACATGGGCAGACAGCAGGTCTGATGGCTGTAATGAGAGATGAAAGATTCAAAGGAACCATATGCTGTTTTAGTGTTTGGACAAGGCTTTTGTTATTTGCAGCATGGGTTAAGTCAGTCTTAATAGGTATAATTTAAACAAACAGGGAAAACAGTGGCTTTTGTTTAATGGAAATCCTGTTTGTCCTATTTAATTTCAGTCAGAAATAGCTCATTTGCAAAACACTTATTTGCAAAATAAGCATTTTTAAAAATGAAATATGCACAATCAAAACAGCAGCAAACTGTGATTGAATCAGACATACTCCATAAAACATTTGTTTACTGATGCCACTTCTCTTCCTGTAATATGTCTGTTTATTTTGCCTCCTCTGTTTTGACTGATTGCTGCTATTACGCAACTCTGCAGGAAAGAAGCGCAAACAACAGACAAATCACTTGAGGACGTGCTGGGAAACCTCAACCTCAGCTCGACGATTACCCCTCAGATGATCAACCTCGGCCTCTCGCAAGAGCGTAAGTTGCTTTCTGTCTTTGATGAGCGTGACATAAAACAGGCGTCGTGTTTTCATGCTGAACATGACTCAGCATTCTCGACGTGTCTGTGTATTTGTGACTTGTATGGTGTTTTCACAGTTGTAGATGAAGTGTGGCACCAGCAGGCAGTGTTCAGACTGTTGCAGTTAATAGAGCTCCCCCTGTTGGAGAGTTTGTTAGAGGGCAAGGAGACATCGAGGCGTGCCCTACATGGCATGGACAGCGACCCGGACCTGTTGTATACATCAAGCTACCTAGACAGAGAGGTTCTGAAGGCCTTCAGTGAGGCTCAGTAAGTCCACTCATTTTTTCTTCTTCTTCGTTTTATAAACGTTGATCAATTCACATGAGTGTTTCTGGTGACCTTTGTTAGACTTTAAGACCTTCACGCCACGCCTCACCAGATTAGCTGGTCTGCTGATACTCATTTTCTGCTGCTCTGCCGACGTAGAATGTGTATAGAATGGCACAGCATGTCTATTTGCACTTGTCCTGCTCTTTAACTTAAAGAAAAGCGCTCACCAATTGACCACTGCTTTTTTTTATTTGGTAGTAAAATTATGTGGAGGTGTAGAGATAAGAGTCATCGTAATAATGGTTATTCATTGGAACTGTGTAGTGTCCCTGCATTTACATGTAGTAGTTATATGCACACCACAAAACTGCAAAACCTCAGTTTGACTTCAGACTGCCTTGAACTTTGTTTATTAATTCTAATAATAAAGGCCAAATTTCAAATTCACATATAAATATTAAATCATAATACTTTCCTCTCTTCAGGGCTGATGAGTGGATGTCAGGAGCAGTGGACTGTCTGGAGTTTCTGCCTGATGACCTGGTGGTGGAGATCAGCCGAGGTCTGGCCGCCTGTGGAGACGACCTGATCCGGTGTAAAAGACTACTGTATCAAGTCCTGACTAAGCACTACGGACACACACAACAGCCACCTCTGCTTAGCAACCAAATTTTCGATATCCACTGTGGCATTTCTGAACTACTCGGTATGAGAAGGCTCTGTCAGATCTTTTGTACAGATACAAGTTTACAGTGATAGATGTGAATCAGATTTTAGGTTTATGTAACTGCATCCCTGCCTTTTTAATGCAAATTTTGTGCTTTATCGACAGTGAACGGGAAGCGAGAGCAAGCTGTGGAAGCGCTCCAGCTGAGCCTGAAGCTGCAGGACTCTCGCAGCAGGGAGGAGCTGCGTCGGCTCCTGAGATTCATGTCTGTTGCAGCCAAACCGGAGGAGGTCAAACTGCACAAAGAGGTCAGCGCTAAGGGTGTATCTTGTGGAAGTCTGTACATTTTTGCTGGCTTTTTACTAACCCTACATAATTCTCCTAGATTGAGAACCGAATGGCAGTGAAAAGGTCTTTCTCACGTGCCATCGTCTACAGCAGAAGACTCGCCAAAGGAAAGGTGGACTTGATGGTTCTGTTCATGATGGATAACCACTGTGATCTGTTCAAAGTGAGTGTTCCCAGTGTTGTAGGAGGGATGTTATCTTATGTCCTTTACAGCCGCTACAAACAAGTAACAGCATATTTGTTTGTAGGAGAAGTTATAATATTTTGCTGTCTCTCCCACCAGATTCCTGTCTCACTGCACAAGATGGTTAGTGACAGAATAACGAATATTGTGAAAGGGAAGGATCCAGATATGTTGACAGGTTTGCAGATTTTTACCCCTCACAGGCATCATTGCGTACATTCAGATATTTAACTGTTAACTGGGGGCATAAAGAGGAATTAATTTTTGGTTTTCTGTCTCTCTTTACTCCAGGATCAGCGTACTCAACAAGAGTAAGCACTGAGGTGTATTCACAAAACGCACGAAAAACCACTAAAGAGGAGCTCGTGTCTTTATTGCGGACAGTCCACGAGAGCCCTACGCTCTCTGATAAAGAAAAGAGACGGCTGCTTGGACAGTTTTATAAAGGCCATCCGGAGATATTCGTTCAGTACTTTGGAAATAAATTGTCCAGTATCAACATGTTGTTACAATAATATTTATTAATTTAAAAAGACCATATACTATAAGGTAAAGAAGAAAAAAGCCAATGCAATCCAGATGATGTGAAAACATCCATGTCAGCGAGTGGATTTTATTTAGACTACTGAACGCAAATGTGAATTTTAATAATCTTAATTATTTAAGGAACTTGACATTTTCTTTTGGTGCAGGACGCTAACATGAAGTTTTAAATGAAACTGTTACTTTCCGAGAAAGACAAAAAGAACCAAGTGTTCTTTAGTGATTTCCCCCCCCCCCCCGCTCCCTTTTCTCACTGCAAACCATCTTGATGGCTTGATGTTTTGTAGGCAGAAAAGGGCAAATCTGCTTGCCAGATTTTTATTTTTTAAAGATGTAAATGTTCCGTGTGTTTGTGCAATAGAAACAGTGTTACCAGTCAAAATGTTCTCAATGCGATGTACAGTATAGCTTTGTGTAAGTAACCCTCAAACGGAAATTTGAAACTGGAAATTTGAAAGTCTGATGTTGAACTGTAGTAAACAATAAGACGCATTCATGAGCATCAACCCTCTGGGTTTTTGTTTGTCGCATCACATCAACAAAACAGATGTTTGTGCTTTTTTTTTTTTCTTTTGTAACTGAAAACCTTAGCTCCATTTTAGTGGCAGCTTCAATGCCTTTTAAGTAAGGTTCAATAAAACCCTCTGCACGAGACAAGGAAATTGCTTCCATATTTCTATGGAACACTATATAAACTTAAGAAGGATCTAAAATTTGTAGATTCCACACAAAATGTGTTTAAATGAAAAAAATAATTTGCCACCAGAATGCTGAAAAACCCATCAGTGTTCCAGTTGTTAGTTTACTTTAACAAATTATTTTTGTTCAACAGACCGTTGCATTCATTTTTTTTATTACTTGACTGACTGAAATCTAATGTTGCTTTCAGCTGAGTTTAAGAGGAAATGTGAAACAGTTTTCATCCTGTTTGTTAAATAAGAAAGTGAATGTTACAGAGTCCTGAGATAATTTGAAGCTAGAACACTAAATCACAAAACTAAAATATCTGTAATAAATTGAAACTACTAAAAGCTGTAAGAGAAGACCGACAACTACTTTACTTTATATGCGTTATTTGCATCATATGCATTGTTTTTGCTTCTGTAAGAATTTGTGTCGTATGGATTGGGCAGATTGTATGTTGCTAAAGAGCATACAAAGCTGTGCTAGGTAGAGAAAATTACCTTCTGAGCACCATGTGAAAACAAGTAGCTGGTTGGTATTAAAAATGGTTGCTTATGTGCAGTGTTTTTGAATTTGTCATAAAATGAAGATCTGCTTGATAGTGACAGCAAAATGCTGCTAACCAACTAATTGTTTAAGTCTTTAGTTATTAAATTTATAGACAAAACATAGATTCTCCCACAAAAATTGTAAAGTTTTATATTGTGCCCCCTGCTGGTAGTTGTCACAATGAAGCGTTACTTCAGTTTCAAAGTCAACCCCCCCCCCAAAAAAGAGCACAGTCGGGTTACTTCTCACTTTTATTGAAAGAAATTGTCTTTCCTCCAGTTATCTAAAAAAAAAGGGAAAAAAGGAGCTTGCTTCCACTTTGCAATTCCTCATCAAACATTGCCAAAACTGGGAGGTGTGCCAAAGTCAAAGGCTGAATTAAAAATTTTGTACAGTATAATGGTCAGTCTTTAAAAATAAGAACTGCTGACAAAACAAAAGCCACGAAAACACTCAGGTGCGCAGACTTTCTGTAGGTTTGTGTGTGTACACTGCTCTTCTGTACCAAGATCAGCTGATGTATAATCTGTCAGGTGGACATGTACATTTATCCTATAGGACCAGTGGTTAAAGATTACATTCTTTAGTTTATCGAATCCTCTTCTGTTGGCGTGCGCGGTAGATGTCGTGTATGGGAGGAGCGATCGCTCCTTTATCATCCTCCTCGTCTGAGTCTGCGTTAGGCCTCTTGAGTGACTTGGCAATAGTGTGGTTCTCCATGGATCCGTTGCCCTCCCCTCCTACATCAGGCTGTCTACCAGTGATCAGCTCTACAGCAGCATCAACAGCTACAAAGAGCAGGGGTAAAAAAAGAGAAGCAGGTCAAATGAAAAGTACAACAACCTGTTAACACACAATTAGGCAGTGTAAAACAGCTGCTCTGTCACTACAGCATCCATCACCACAGCTTTTCTTCTAATGTGACTAAAAATAGAAGTTGTATGGATTCATCCTAAATAAAGACTTACTCTCAGGAAGTGTGCATCTCCTGAAAGTTTCCATGAGCTCATCCACTTGAACAAAGGGACCCTGCAGCAACAAACAATCACACACTCTTTTGAATCCAAGCAGCAAGGAGAGGGGAAAAAAACTGTTCCTAACATCTTTTATTCATTGCCAGTAAATATGAGCTTGATAAGTGTTAAGCTGCTGCTACTAACAGTGAAGCACGTAGGCGGAGGGAGCAGCTTCATTAGGATGACAGCAGCTGGGGGGACTGGGAAAACTCCACCAGGGACAGGGTGTAAACCTGGAGCTGCAGGGAGAAACACGAGAAGCTACGTCAAAGATGAATCCTTTCATGCTTTATGCAGCAGAGAGAGCAGTGGAAAGATGCATCGTGCTCGTAGGTTTACTGGATTTGAGGACTACGTACGGGCAAGGTGACGTGGCTGGAAGGGGATCATCTGATTTGTGTCTGGTTTGGGATACTCAGGTTTACGGTCAACTTCGTCCTTTAAAGCAGGTACAGAGGGTGCCACCACAGTCTCTGGTAGAAGTGCTGCCAGTTTGGCACGTGACACATCCTACAAAAAAAGACACGGATACGAATTAAGTATCAGTTCATGTCAGCAGAAAAGCTGGAATCTGCTTATTTTGCAGGAACAGGATACTGCGACGCCAAATGGGAAAACACACACCTTGTATCCAAGGGCCTTGAGTTCACTGGTGGAGCAGGGATAGAGGTCCATAAACTTGTATCTATCTACGAGTAAGGCCGTTTCTTTTCCCTCGTATTCATCCTTAAAGGCCATGAAACGCCTGCGCTCGACTTTCAGAATACTGGCTAGGTCTCCTATGTTGCTCTCGAAGGCAAGGAACCGGGCCCAGATCTCACTGAAAAAAACAAAACACACATCACAGTTAATAAACATTGATATCGACAGTTATGACATAAACGTACATGTATGCAATTTATTCAATATTTGACATTACCCCGATTTTTCTGGTGATAAGCTTCCTGAGGTGAGGACACGTTCAAACAAAACCCTGGTGTTGTTATCCTCTGAAAGCCAAAAAACCCCCTGATTATTTACAACAACAACAGGAGACATTTTTGCATTACAAAGGAAGAAACTAAGACATCACTATTTCTTTGATATCAAAAGTAACCCACAGAACTTGTTACGTACCATTGAGGTGTGAGAGGTAATCGATGTATGCAAGTATGTACTCTGGAATGTCGCCATACTTCTTCAAACCCAGCTCAAAAATTTTAAAGGCCACTGATTTATCCTTTTAACAAAAAAACAAAAACAACAAAAGCCCTTAGACGTGTATGCGTGAAAAACACACAGTTCATACACTACACATCTGATCACGTGTTCTTACCTTGCTGCAGTAGTATTCCATGAGCGCTGCGGTGACGTACACATGATGACGTGTGCGTGGATCTTCTCTGGCTTTTTTAAAGATGGTGCGACCTGATTTGATGCCCTCGGCTCTCCTGGCAAACTTCATGTACTGGATGTAGACCAGTGTGGGGTCGATGTCTTCAATCGCCAACAACTTGTTATAGATGCTGTGGACCTTTTCGTACTTCATGCGACTCTAAGACAGCAGAAAAGGAAATGTGCCGATAAGCCAGCGTGCCTCTTTCAGTCTGGGTTACAGCGTGTGCAGAGTTCGTAATGGACCCTCACCTCCTCATAGTCAGCAAAAGCAAAGTATAGAAGCATGTTCTTTTTCAGAAGAGTCCCGATGGCACGTTCATAGATGTTAGCTGCCTCATCGCTGAACAGCTTTGAGTTATTCATGTCCTGAGGGGTAGGGGGAGAAATACAGACTTATGGGACTGTTTGAGCTGAAGTTTGGCTTTATTTGAAAAATACTTAAGAGCCTTTAAACAAAAATACACATTAAATTTCACAATGATAAGGTTAATCTCTTACCCCTTTCTCTGCCAAAAGTTTGCTGGACTGCTCCAGGTACTGTGCTGCCTCATACCATATGTCAGGATGGTGGCCCAGGACGAGCAGGCACTGTTCATAGGCAAACATCACTGCACCACAAAAAATAAGAGTTAGTGACTAAAATATTGGCTCTTCACCACCTGAGGTTAAGCACATCTCAAGAATGCACGTGGAGAAAGGCGTCAATCCACGCCCTCTAGTGGCTTCAATCCCACATGTCATGCATTACCCACTGACTACAGTTGAAAACGTACTAAAAAATTACATATCAGCATAACAACTGGAATTACAGTCCTCCCGACACAAACACAGAATAAGATTTACCAACAACAGCTTGGCCACAAGCAGTTACCTCTCTTTGTAATGAGGGTCTGGTCTTCTGTGCGCAGTGGGTTGCTTTTTTCCCACTGAATGTACTTCTTCCACATTTCCACCTGCTGTGCTTCCTGAGGGGAGTTCTGAGGTGGTACTGATGGTGCATTCCTGTCCAGCCCTTTCATCACTGTCTCATACTCCTGAAATATGGAAACAATACAGAAATCTGTATTAGCTTTATAATGAGAGTACACAGGACAAAGGACTGCACGTAGGCCTGTACATACTTGGGACACTGTGCAATATCTCACCTTAGCTACTCTCCTGGCATTCATGTAGTCTCTACTTCGATCCTCAATCATCTTTTTGGCCAAATGTACATTGATACCCTGTTTGTGAGACAGACAAGTCAGTCTACCAGTCACTCGGTACTCATGATGAAAAACCAAAAGCTCCATTTAAGAGCAGAAAAAGGTGGACCACCCGCCTCTTCATATTTGCTATAATCTCTCCAGAGCTGTTCAATGTTGATCATCGGGTTCACGCAGCCTCTCTGGTACACCCGCCGTACTGCGGTGATTCGCTGGTTCTCTGCATATGAACCCACAGCCTCACTAATAAAACAAAAATTTCAACATTAAAGAGATGCTAAGAGAGCTGAGTAGCAATAAGGTCATGAAACAAAAATCACTTACACTCCCTTGAGGAAATTGATGTAATCCACCCAGATCTGAAAGAGTAACAGATAGCGGTTATGCAATAGTAGTTTAAAAAACACTCATACCATTAGTACAAATACATTGTTCAGATTTGCATACCTGATATGACATAATTTCCATGCCAATTTTATCCAAGGCAAAGTCATAAGCCTGGGCCATCTTCTCTCTGATGGCAAGAAGAAGAGGTGGAAAATTGTATGGCAGTAAATAAATGCTCAATAAAACAATGCAGCTTGTCATCTTACTTGTAGCTGGGAAGCTTTCCTTTGGTCTCTCGAACATATGAGAGGTAGCATTTCCACAGGTCGATGTGCAACACTTTCATTAGGCATCTCTGAAACAACTACAGGGGCCAGAAGATGTTAGACAACAAAGCAGATGGAAACACACTTTTATATGTCACATACAGTCACAACACTTTCTCCTAACTATCTGACTCTGGATGCAGATCATCTGTTTACAATGTAGCAGGACTGCTACATTTAACGGCATGAAGTTAAACCCAGAATACCAGATTTGTTCATGTTCAAATCTTTGACCTAAAATGTATTTCATGTATATCAATTTATTGTTTTTATTTAATATTTATAAGGGGGATAAATGTTGAAAAGCTTAAAGACATCTAAAGACACACTGCTAGTGTGGAAACCTAGTGAGAAAAATCCCCCAAAGTGTCATCAATTGAGTTCAAAAGAGCAACTAACCCACTTCTAACATTTCAAAGACTTATTATTGATTTATAAAATTAATATTTTCTATTTAATCACCATTTCCAGGTGCTTTTTAATGGGTACTATAATTGTCTGTATGCATATTCCCTTTGAAATCAGAAACAATACTTAACTAGTGTATTTAGGAAGTCATACCACCCTTCCCAGATTTTAAAATTTCACTTTCAGATTTCACGAGTGAGGCGGACACTTACCTTTTCTACCTTGTCATAGTTTTTAGCCTTGATCTGAAAATAAGAGTGTAAACCAATGTTAATTTTCCAGTACTTTTATGGCTTATTGGAAACATGCATTCATGCAAATGTA